GGAGGGAGGGGAGGTATCTACTCGAGGATTCAACTATATTGGTCTAAACTGGGCGGTAGGTATGTGAATTTCTTTATACACCTTTTACAAGTTTAAAATAGGGTAAATCACCCGTGTGAATGTGACCTGCATATGTACCCAAACATCCTTATACTTATTGACGCTTAGAGATTTTGTTCAGAGTTACAGATATATCAAAACTCTAAATTTTCTTTCATTATGCCTTTCATGTCATTTTGAAACACAAACGAAGACAAAATGCAAAACCGCTCAGTCCAACTACCTGCAGGAATACACGTGACTCTTCCGAATGCTGCGCCTGAAGAAGCCCTTGCAGCCATCACAGCTCGATGCCCCGTAGTGCTTTCCTGTTGCTCTGTCCCCACAAATCGCACATAGACAGTTGACCCCGTTATCCGTGGTATTCATACTTGTTGTCTCTGGGGCGGAACTGTCTGCTAAAGAAAGACAAGAAGAGTTAGTGACTGCTGAGCTTTCTTGAGCGCAGTGCTCTGCGGCTTACCAGCTCTTCCTGGGCTCGACAGAGTTCTCTTAGCTGTGCTTTTCTTTCAACCACTGGCATGCAGCTTCCACTCCAGGCTCCTGTCTCATATTTCTCATCATTTCACTAGGGGACACTATAGGGCTCAGTTCCTCAACTACTACCCTTCTCAACAAACGTCCATGCAATCTCACGACACTGACTATCAACTTCATGCGGGAAACAATCCTCAGATTTTGTTTCTGATGACCCCATGGATTTCAATTTTAAAGGCTTAAGGACCTAGCCAACAACTTTATTGTGTTACCTAGTAAGATCATCATTATTCCTCCTCTGTTTGCTTTATCCCATAGGGCTATTTCATATTATGTCACCCTGTCCATTCGATAGCATTTCAGCAAGGCCCAGGGCGCTGCACACTGCAGACTTGCCCTGCCAGCCCCTCCTCTCTCTGTGGCTGCCTGCTGTACCTTCCCTTCCATCATCCTGTTCATTCAGTCTTCTCCAGTACAACTGCTTTTGTGTTCTCCTTGAAGCCTCTTCTCATCTCCTGTATTTTCACAGATGCCTAGACTTTCCCAAGCCTGTCTCGAGTTACTTAGGTTTCTAATCACTTCTCACATTTTGTGTGAAATCGTCTCTGAGAATACACATAAAAGAGTCACCTGTCATCTGCCCTTCAAGTATAACATAGAGCTCTGATTGTCATCATTATTTAAAATTATAGTATCATTTCCCAGAATTGCATTATGCATGGGTTGGCTCACCTATCAATCTTTACACATAG